AACGTTATCAAAATTCTAACACAACTAACCATAGGCTGTCTCGAGAGACGCACGTTTATTATTACGAAGTATCTGTAACTAATGATCACCAAGCGATTCGCTCAAACATGTCGGTTGCTTCGAAAAATAATTCGCAGCATCATAGGTGTATTCAATCGAATGATCAATCTATGCAAGATACTTCCGAAGAAACAAAATCTGCTGAACGTTATCAAAATTCTAAAACAAGTAACGATAGGATGTCTCGAGAGACGCACGTTTATTATTACGAAGTATCTGTAACTAATGATCACCAAGCGATTCGCTCAGACATGTCGGTTGCTTCGAAAAATAATTCGCTGCATCATAGGTGTCAATCGAACGTATCATCTTCTGAAGGTAACAGACGAGTAGAAACATCTGCGACGCCTGAACAAACACGATTTTATGAAGAAATCGAAAAACCGTGCGAGGGAATATGCGAAGAAACGTGCGAGAGTACTGACACGATCGACACTGAAAGCGAAAGAAGCTTCACATCGACGGTCGCAGTAGCTGCAGTATCCTTGACCGAAGTGGATCTCACGGGTCGCTCATTGCGAAACGACTCGGAAGAATCGATAGCGTCGACTTCCAAATGGGAGACGACACCTGTTTCATCGAGAATAAAATGTGGATCGCAAAGAAATTGTCACAGTTCCAAATCATCTTCTGTGCGATGGCGATGAAATTCTTGGGGAAATGTTCGTCCGTTGATAATAAAACCTGCGCGTCTGTGCTTAAATGGAGTAAAAAAGACATCAGAAGAAAGGAGCTACCAAGTACGGCTACTATTTACGATAACGGAGTGAAAATTAAGAAAATAGATCCATCTACTATGCAATCCGATCGAGAAGGCAATAAGAGGCGAGCCTACATAAAAGTTCAAATGCAAACACCTGACGCGATTATTACGAGAATTTTATCGGAGTTCCTTCTCAGTGGCGAGAAGAAGAAAAAGGTGTTGATGACCATAATGCTACAATCAGAATTGGATAACAAAAAAGAAGCAGAAACTCAAACGTCATCAAGTAACATAACTTCCAGAGGAATCGATCGGTTTAATTATCCAGACGATCGTCCTCATGGTGCGGTTACAACCTCGTCGAAGACTGTTCAATGTTTCGTATGTGATAAACAAGAGTGTTACGAAATAATACAATCGGATAACTCGATTACTTTAGAAGAGGCCTTAATCACAGAATATCCGGAAACGTCTGAATTCAATGATCATTTGGCGAAACAAAAAGCAGACGTAACAATTCCTCCATGATTTATACTCAAGAAATTCCCTTGAGAGCAATTTATATAAATAAATATATCTGTTAGAATGTAATTAATTAAGCAACAACATTAAAATTTGCGTTTGTCAAATTTTTGATGTAGATTAATCGAACCACTTCGAGATATCGAGAAATTCAAAGAGAATTTCAGTTATTTTAATTAAATCTTAGTAACCTCACATTTACATATGTACTAATTTATGTGTTTATTTTTGGCTATGGCATATCAAAAATGTACTCAATGTCCACTCGAAATTTATATCTAAATTGAAATTTTAATTATGCATAGCAATAGAAACAAATAAATTAATTATGAATTTCTTCTGAAAATTATAAAGTTTAAACAAAGTTGCACATTGCAAAATAATTTTCTTATTCAACATGAGGCAAAATTGCAATTTAGTCTATTCAATATTAACTATTTAATTAATCATATTTAATCATATTAATGGGGTCGAACTATATTCTATAATAATATTATTATTCATATTGAACATATTGAGCACATCAAACATGGCAAGTAACAAAATTGATGATTTTGACACAATGTGTCTGACAAATTGTCAGATTAAACAAACAGATTATCCCATTTACTACAATACTGTAAATTCAACTAACGGAGATTCATCAGAAAGTCACAAGTTCTTTCGTAGGATATTAAAGTATTTCAAGCGCCCCACTGCACGAATAAGACGAAGCAAAAAAAAGAAACGTGATATAAATAAGCGAAATGTCAGTACGAGTAAATCTGAAGAAAAAATATCGGTATATACTTCATTATCATCGATTGCAAATAATGTAACTAAATCCGATCTAAAGGTTGGTAAACTGAAGCAAAGAATGGTCGATGCAATTACCTCCACTACACGAGCAAATAATGTTCATGATAAAATAACGCATGGAAATCTTTTAAACGCCATACAGCATCTTGTTCATGACACATCTTGTCAATATGCAGTGGATAACGTTGTTTCGAATCGTGACTGCAATCCGCTATGCATTGGCAGCAAGACTCAAAACGTAGATGAAGAAGTCAGTTTGGAGACAAACTCTAACGCTTTCGCGGAAGCATGCGAAAAGAGGCGGCAGACGGACTTTATTCTCGAGGAAATTACAAAAATCTCTGACGCTTTGTCGCAGAAAACTGTCGCTTCCATGAAAGATCAGGCGGCTTCAATCCTTGCGTCCGTATCGATGGCGCCTACGAAATATGAAATGGAAGAGCAAACATGCGAGAACCTGAAATCATTATCTTCGATTATCTACGCGGATGAGGAACCAAATGTTATGGTAAAAGAAAACCCAATTGTTACAATCGAAGAAATATCAACTGTTGCAATAAGAAAAAAGCCATCTGTAATGGAAAGAATACCAACTATTGTAATAGAAAAAAAACCATCTGTTGTAGTGGAAGAAGAACCAACTGCAGCAGTGAAAGGAGTTGCTTCAGCGACTGTAATGCAACTAGAAATACACAAGAAAACATTGGGATCTTCTCCAAACTATTTTACACCGAATTCACGAGATTTTTCGGTGAACTTACAATTAGATAAATCTCTGAGCTCTGTGGATATCCAACAAAAATCATCAATAAAAGACTTAAGGAAAACTGAGCGTATCAGTACAATTACGTTTCCGAAAAAAGATGATCTTCGAGATACTGCAGCTTTTGTTATTGCTGGCAAAAAGATAGAAGAAAAGGAAGAATTATGGAAGAAAACTTCTCTGCGACGAATGTTAGATAAATATGTTTTCACTGACAAGATAAATGACGAAAATTATGTAATTATAAATTGTATTCCAAAGCTAAAAAAGAGAAAGTCAAAACCCTCAGATCAGCCTACTTTAAGACAAAAGGATACTCAGACTGATTTTTCAAGACAAACAGTTACAAAAAGCATTGAGTCTTCTATCAAATTTTCGAAGATGAAACAAGAATTAACCCAAAGAATCAAAGATATTCCCCAGAAATCTGTGCTATATAAAAAATCAAAATATCGAGTCAAATTTCACAAATATATGGAGAAAAAAGACAAAAAGCCAGAATTGAAAAAAGAACTTACGGATTCCGAAAAAATCTCGAAATGTTTCATTAGGTTGCCTCAAGCGATAAGAACTTGTAAGGATTTTGAACCTTCCGTAAAACCAACAACAGTATATCCAGATTGTCATACAATAGAATATTTAGAACCAACAAGATGTTGCAAGGATTTATCGAGCATCTATCTTAGACCCAAATATTGCGATGTTTGGACTACTCCATGCCTTACCTCTGAAGGCATCGTAAATGGCGCTTTCCCGCAAGATTCATGCGCAATCAAATATCGTGCCTTGTGTCATTCACTAATTGACAGCTCGTCCAGATGTTATAATTATATTAATACAAACTGCACAAAACATAGTGTATTTGGAAATTCATTACACAATACGTATTGCAAGAACGATTACAAGAAATATTGTTATTCGCATCTAAATAATATTGACAGCGTTCAAATGGGATATTATCATTGCAATGACATCCAGTATTGAACAATCAACAATGTGGGAGGGATCGATCATATTACTGAACAAAGGGGAATTTATATTTCACGCACCCATGGACATCGGAGCATTTGTCGCGATATAATTGATATTGACAATGGCAACATACGATATTTAACGTTGCCGAGTAATTCGAATTCAATCATATCGGAAATATATATAAAATTAACGTGTCGTTTTTTATTGCTTATGTATAATTTTTTTATGAAATTTACAGTACAGAGCGAGATGATGAGAACCGAACAAATTAAAATGGATAAATATACGACGTAATCTGTACTGCGGCCAGTGACGTGCGTCAATCCTAATTATATTTCACACTACATACTAATTTTAGTTATTAACCCGTATGTGCGAGTAGTCATAAAGTTTCGTGTCCTGTCCAACGCGTATGCATGTTAATAATTAAAATTAATAACGCGCCAAATATAGTTGCGATATACATGTGACAGTCGACGCATTGATGCCAGACGACAAAAGAACGTATCATACGATATATTAATGCGGACAGAGTGATTATATGTTTGCATAGCAGTTTATATTACTCATTATGACGACCAGTTTATGATTATTCACCAATAATAGCAAATAGTTCGAACTAGCATTTTAAGAAACGACAAAAACCAAAAGAAATCTTTACATTGCAAAAACTCGCTTATTACCAAAATTGCCAGTCACAAAAGGACCAAGATCGTTTGAGCGTTTTTTCATGCTTGAGAAGCTACTTAGCCATTTAGGAAATATCCACGGACAGAAAGAAACCACCGCAGACGCGACAAACTGTTACCATCCTCGCAAGAAACGCCAAACAGTGTCGAAAAGAGCTTGCGGGCAGCCGAAGAACTTTGCATCAACGGGTCCCGGTGGAGACGTTGTCGTATCCTTAAGCGGCCTTCGCGGTTGGCGATTGCGGCGGAAGGAATTTCGAATTAGAAGTTTGTTGCGAAGTTCCTTGGAAGTCCACCTGCCGAATGCAACGACCGAAAACCTAGTCTGGAAAGCGAAAGCATATATATCTGTTTCCTCGTTACCTATTCACACGGTCTGGAAGGTACGTACTAATTTGTTCGTTTTTTCAATAAAAATTAATTTTATAATGAAAAGTAGTGAAAAATGAATAATTGAGAATTTTTAATTAGAATGTAAAGAAAAAATGGTCAATATATGAACAAAAAGTCGAAAAGGTAATAACTGTATTTATTGTTAAATAAATTAATAAAAAGGAGAGGAAATAAAGAATAATTTATTATTATAGATAATAATTATTTATTTATTAGGTGTTGGAATTAATTCGTAGCGTTTTTTAAATGAAAGAATGTTATTTATTTCACATGAGCATTAAAAAATACATTAATGAAAGTACTTCCCATCACTTTCTACTACTTTTGACCATCTTTCGGGCAGTGAATGAATACCGCGTCGGAAGAACTGTTCATCTTTAGATGAAATCCAGGAATCGAACCATTTTGTACAATCTTCGTAAGATGTGAACTTCTGCTCGCACAAGCTATGAGCTAATGATCGAAACAAGTGGTAGTCGCTAGGTGCAATATCAGGAGAATACGGCGGGTGCGGTAGCACTTCCCATTTAAGTGTTTCCAGGTATGTTTTTACCGGTTTTGCAACGTGTGGGCGAGCATTGTCGTGCAGCAAGATGACTTTATCGTGTCTTTCGAAGTATTCCGACCGTTTTTGCTTCAATGCACGGCTCAAGCGCATCAGTTGCCGTCGGTAGAGATCTCCAGTAACGGTTTCATGCGGTTTTAGCAGTTCGTAGTATATGACACCCTTCTGATCCCACCAAATACAGAGCAGGAGCTTTGAGCCATGGATATTGGGCTTTGCCACTGATGTTAATGGTTCGCCGGGCTTAACCCATGACTTTCTGCGCTTTGGATTGTCATAATGGATCCACTTTTCGTCACCGGTAACAATCCGATGCAAAAAACCTTTTCTTTTCTGCCGTTGAAGCAGCAGTTCGCACGTGAGAAAACGTCTCTCAATATCCCTTGGTTTCAATTCATATGGGACCCAATGTCCTTCCTTCTGGATCATGCCCAAACTTTTAAGACGTTTTCCTATTGTTGAGAAGTCAACTTCCAATGACGTAGATAATTCTTTAAGTGTTTGACATGAGTTTTCATTGAGCAGTGCCTGCAAATCGTTATCTTCAAATTTTTTCGGCTGACCAGGTCGCTCCTTGTCATCCAAGTCGAAATCACCAGCTTAAAACCGTGCAAACCACTTCCTACACGTTTGCTCAGCCAGAGCATGTTCACTATACACATCCACTAAAATACGATGAGCTTCAGCTGCACTTTTGTTCATATTAAAGTAATGAAGCAAAACTCCCCGCAAAAACACTTTATCTGGCACAAATTTTGACATATTCAATGAATTATACAGTATTGTTATTTATGATTTCAAGAAAGGTTATGTACGGCAAATGACGTCCTATGATAGATGTTTACAATGTATACAGAACTATAGGTAACAACGAAATAGTGTACTGTTTGTGCCATCTCTTGTAAAACGCTACGAATTAATTCCAACACCTAATATATATTATTTTTTGACTGCACTCTCTTATACTGTAGTCGTGAAAAAATTAATAATTAGAATCGAGAATACAAAACATAATATAATGATACATAAAATAATAAATTATTCATTTATGAATAAAGTTGTCACTTATTTTATCCATGACCTTTTATTCTTGATCTTTTTTATTCTTATTTGCATTTGCATTTATCAAACTTGATTTTCTTCTTGTTTTCACTTAGAAGTTTATTGTCCAAGAATTATAGCGACAAAATGATGTTTAATTGTATTTTGTATGATGTCTAATTATTCATTTATTCCGACAGATTTGCCATACGGTCAACCATTCAAAATGTATAGCACGAGAAAATGATTTGAAAGGATTTCTCTTAAGAACATCTTAAGCAGTCTTCAAGCTCGAAGAGCATCAAGACGAAAACTTCGTCGAAGTTCACGGCGATCTATTCCACAAACTTTCTGGATGACCAATATAAGAGAAGAATCAAAACCACTCAATGAACAAATCCTCGTGAACCATACAAGTAATGTTATGACACGCTTGTCGTTGTTATAAATGTTACGATCGCATAACAGGTAGCTTTATGCAGTGGCAAGACTTAACGTCATCCTAGTGGATGCATTAGACAGGTGGCGTCGGAAGATTTACTATTCAACTTCGACATCGTACAGTACGAAACTTCGCCCG